TCTGACTAAGCAATTTGTGCAAATTTTTTGACCAGGTACAATATTGATCCTGTTGTTTAAAGCTATGGTTCTTAACGTGACTTCTCTGAGAGATGCTAAATTAAAAAATATAACTTAATAAAGTAAAATGTGCCTACTATTAACAAAAATAAAGAACTTAAAATTATGACAAATTTACTATTATAAAATTTATGGCAAGCTTTACTAACCTTTGCACGGTCTTTTGTGAACTAACAGTGGATCACAGCATTTATTCTGAAACACAGGGAACTTCTCAAGATAGAACTTTTGATGATGAAAACATAAGTCAATAATCAAAACAGAAGAAACACCAGACCTTAGCGCAACTAAATTTTGCTCATCTGGAGCTAAATCTTGAAAAAAGTTTATTCCAATGTGGTTTGTAAATGTTAACTTGTGACAATTTGATTTTAAAATCAATCCAACTGAGCATTGTGATGTTCCATCCATTATAAAAATATTTTATTTTAATATTTTATTTTTCTAAAACTATTATTAAATAAATAATAAATTCTCGCATGAGTATTATAATCAAAATTCAAATGTTAGAATCAATTGCTCCATTTAATTAATACAAGAAGAAATCAGAAATTCATTTTTATTTTAAACTAAATAAGTGTAATCATATGATTAGACTTATTTAGTTTAAAATAAAAATGAATTTCTGGGTTTCTTGTTCAATTAATTAAACGGAGCAACTGGTTCTAACATTTAAGTATAACACTTATGCGAGAAATCATTATTTTTTTTGTGAGAAATTATTTTAGTTATAATCTTTAAATGGAGATTATAACCAAAATGGTAAATAAAAATGCAAAAATAAAATTGCAAAAATAAAACAATAATAAAATAGATATGTGCATCAAAAAACAATGAAATAATTTTTGCCTCTTACAGGCATTTAAATATAAACTATTTTTGTAAAGATTTAAAGTGAATAGATCAATACCTTTTCTGCAATTAGTCTTAAACTAGACATGTTTACTAAAAAATTATTGTTAAAAACCCGGTTTGCATTGCAAAGTTTTTAATCAAATATAAGATCTAATAACTTTAAGTAATGATTTTTGATTTCTTTATTCAAAAGTTTCTATACCTATTAAATTTTGTAAACGAATGGTTAATGTAACTGTGTATACTTTAACATTTTAGTGTTGCTATAGACGTTGCTAAGAGAGCGGAGAATAAAAAAATTTTAAAATTCTTAAACTTCAAAGACCCATAACTCTTAAAAAAATGAAATTGACTCCAAATTATTTATGATTATTACTAACAACATTATTAACTGCATTTGTGCCAAAAATCAAGTATTTCTGAGATGGTGGGTTATTTCGACTTGTTGTTTTGACATGGAATTACCCCTTAATTAAATATTAGATGTTTTTTAGTACTTTTTATGTACAATTATGCATAAATAATGTCTCTAAAACAAGGTAAATAAGAAGTGTATATAACATTTTAGATTTCAAGTCATAAGCTTAAATTAACTTTCTAAGGTTAGAAAAATAGAATATATATATATATATATATATACAATTTGAAAAATCACTTATTTAATTATGTTTCAATACTCATAACTCATCAATAATGTTTTTAACTTGGGATTTGTCAATCAGCGACCTCAGAAAGTCAAAATGTAACTGGTTTTTAAAGTAAAAATAAAAGCAAAATTATTAATTAAACCATGTGAAGTTGTTTTTCCGGACTGCTGTAGACCATTGATTTGAAATCAAAAATCAAAAAATGCAATGCAAACTTTAGTTTTTGAGTTTTAGAGTTAAATGTATAGGTTTATTTAAAAATGCCAAAAGGCGTACTTCGGAACTAGCTAGAATGCCAAAAAGCGTACTTCTGAGTGGAAAGGTTAAACCATGGATTACTCCAGCAATCTTGACCTCAATAAAAAAATGTAATATGATATTTAAAAAGTTTCTCAAAACAAAAAATCTAATTATTAAACTAAATCTTGAAAAAACTTACAAAACCAAAAGAAATTTACTTGTAACACTTATTCAACGCAGCAAAAAAAACATTTTTCCAATTATTTTTCTTTTAACCGCAATAATTTGAGGGCTACGTGGAAGGGCATTAGAAAGCTTTTGAATATTTGTTCGAAAGATATCTCATACCCATCTTGTATATCTTCAAATAATACCATTATACATGATCCAAACAAATTATCGGAAAAATTCAACTCGTTCTTTATTTCAATACCTGAAGTATTGCAACAAAACATTCACTCATCCCATACTAACTTCTATAACTATTTAAAAACACCAAACCTTGAATCTATATTCATTAAACCTACTGATGAAAATGAAACTTTATCTATTATTCTTTCTCTAAATGATGGCAAGGCTTCTGGTCCATCCAGCATTCCAACCTTTATTCTTAAATTTTTTGCATGGGATATTTCTCCATTACTTTCTAAACTATTTAACCTCTCATTCGTTACAGGTATATTTCCTAACATTTCCAAAACAGCATCTGTTAAACCAATTCATAAAAAGGGCTCAAAACTTGACTGAAATAACTACAGACCAATATCATTATTATCTAAATCAGCAAATTCTTGATAAATTAATGTATTCTCGTATCTACCACTTTCTTGATAACTCTAAGTGCTTATATGGCCACCAGTTTGGTTTTCGTTTAAAACACTCTAGTTCCCATGCTCTGATTAGCATTACTGAAATGATTTGTGGTGCAATCAATAATGGTTCATTTGCTTGTGGCGTCTTTATTGATTTCCAAAAAGCTTTTGACACAGTCAACCTCAAGATTTTAATTAAAAAGTTACACTACTATGGCATACGGGGTATCGCTAATAATTGGTTTTCATCATATATTGAAAATCGTAGCCAGTTTGTCTCTATTAATGGGTTTGAATCCCCAAAAAAATTTATCAAATATGATGTCCCCCAAGGTTCTGTTCTTGGGCCTTTGTTATTTTTAATATATATAAACGACTAGTTTCACTCTATAAGCAATTCCACTTTTCACCATTTTGCTGATGATACCAATCTTCTATGCATAAATAAATCACTTACTCAGCTTTGTAAAAAAGTTAATTCAGATCTCCATCACTTGTGTCTTTGGTTATCTTGGAATTATCAAATGATTCAATTAAATAAAAAACTCTCTCAACCCAATAGTATGTTATCTTTAATACGACACTATGTTCCTAAACATACTCTAGTATCAATTTACTATTCCATGTTCTCATCCCATCTAAGCTATTGTTACATTGTTTGGGGGCAACAAGGAAGTTTTCTATTAAATCGTATAAACAGTTTGCAAGGCGCTTCCATAAGACTTTTGACATTTTCTCCTATTCAATCTAATATCCAAAAAAGCTTTTCTGAATTGAAAATCTTACAATTTCAAGACCTTATAAAGCTTTACAACTGTCTTTTTGTGTTTGATTTTCTCCAAATAATCTAATGGGTTCGTTTAAGAATTTTTTCATTAAAGCAAGTGATACACATAAATACTATACTCATATTACTATAAATGGTAATTTGCACCCTGCTTTTTTCAATACTGTCAAGTATGGCAAGCTCTCCATAAAACATCAACTTATTTCTCACTGGAACTAATTAATACCTTTTATAAAAAAAAAGATTTTAACTAAATACCCTTTTGTTACTAACTTTCTTCTTCTCAATAGAAACCTAATTAAGAAATTTTTATGTGAGCAAATATCTAAAGAATATTAATGCTATCTTTTATTATTATTCCTTCAATATATTATTTAATTAATTACACTTATTTTTATTTTTTTTATTTATTTTTATTGTTATTATTATTCTTTACATTGTTAGTACTACTATATTTATTATTGTAATTACTATTATTATTTATATATCTTTGTTTTTGTTGCCTTAATATTATTACCTATAATGATAGTCAAAGTAGTTCTTTAGTTGCAGTAGCTTTATTATTATTGTTATAACTATTCTTTAAATTGTTTATTTTATAATTATTAACTATACTATAATTATCTTACTGTTGCTTTATTATTTATAATTCTTTTTACGTTGTTATATTGCATTTATAATTTTTTATATGATTTTTATTCATATTATTGTTACTATTATTATTTTTATAAATATTATTACTTTTAACTTCTTTTTTTTTTTTCTTTTTTTTTTTTTTAAATCTTTATTGTTATTGTTGCTTATCTTTCTTTCCTTTTTTCTTTTTTCTTTTTTTTTTAGGTGTCACTCCATTGACTAGTATTCAACTATATGAGTGACACCTAACCTTATTTATTTAAATTTATAATTTATCATTGTAAATTTTCATTATTTATGGTTAAATAAATGGAGGAAAAAAAAATGTGTTTATAAATAAAATTGTTAGTGCTGTATAGTTTCATAATATCAAATTCTAAAATATATGTCAGTAGCTAATTCATTCAGCCAAATCATATTTAATTACTCGTACATGCTTATGAAATAAATATTAAGTATTGGACTTTTATATAAATAAAAAATGCACAACAAGGTAATATTATGTCAATTTCTATGATGGACTATATTTACTTGACCATTTGTGTTAGGGTTGAATCATTTTGTAACATGTCTCTGAGATCTCTAACCTATTGTACAACTTATAGGTGAATTACCCTAAATTTATTGTTCTGTACAACTCTCTGACCTACTGTGCTGTGCAACTTATAGATGAATAACCTTCAATTCATTGTGCAGTACAACTTTCTAACCTATTGTGCTGTACAACTTATAGGTGATTGATTTTTTTAATGTATTTATTTCTCTAAGATTATTGAATATTATAACAATCGTCATTTTTATCAGAACTTTTGTAATAAAGCTTACCTCTGTTGCACAAACTGCTTATCAGAATTTTTGTAATAAAGCTTACCTCTGTTACACAAACTGCTTATCAGAACTTTTGTAATAAAGCTTACCTCTGCTACACAAACTGCTTATCAGAACTTTTGTAATAAAGCTTACCTCTGTTGCACAAACTGCTTAATGTTATCATTATACATAAACAGAGCACCAACCAAAGTTGTTATAAAAAGTTGAGTACTTAAGATTCCATACACCTTTCTAATGAAACCTATGTTTAAAAAAAAATTTATAAGACTTATGTACATAACTTTAGAATATCAGTCATAGAAACACATAATTACAACTATTATTGGTTCATATATCGAACTAAAAATTAACACAACCACATAACATTAATGCGCTTAATGATCATGAGGAAATTCTTTTTTTTAAAAAAAGAAGTCTTCATTATGAATTTGTGAATGAACCAAAATGTTGTATAATGAATTACAATAAAAGATGTTAAATAAACTAATGAACCCACCATGAAAATATGATTTACATTTTTTTTTGTATCTTATTAAGTTGTTGATGTAAACTAATCATAGAAATGACTGATGCGACTAATTTGAACATTGGTTGGAAAGAAAAGATATGTTCAAGGATGAACTTATATGTTGTATTTTTTTTCAGTGAAAAAGCAAAAGCATATACCTGTCAGGTTCTTGTTGAGGAGAATGGAACTGGAATAGTTTGTGGCATGCAAATTAAAATGCTAATGGATGGAAAACAAGTAAAAAAAGCAACCGCAAAAATGAAACATCATACTATAAAGAGTCATGGAGTACTTCATCTTAAAATTGTTTAGGAAAAAAGCGACAAAAAAGAACTGCAAAACTTTCCAATATTACTGTGTCCAAAAATGGAGACTCTGCATCACTTGGCAGGCAGAAAAAAGACGTTTTTACCAAAGTTTTTTAAACAAAGTTACAATCATAATATCCAAATAAGAATTCAAAAAAGTTTTAAATATGTTGGTACTTTAAAATGAATTTTCTTTAAGATGTTTATTGGTAAGGGAATAGAGATTTTGACCTATGATTTGAAGAAAAAGTTTGGAATAAAGATAAGCAGTGGAAGTATTTGCTACAAATTAAACTTTTTTTCGAAAAAAAAATGGTCTGATCTGAAAAATGATTTGAATGGATAATCGCCTTTCATCCAAGTTGATGGATCATCTTGAAAAGTTTGGAGTTCTTGACAAGTTTAAAATCCGAAAAGAACAAATTCTTAGAATTAGTACTGACATTGGGTCAAACATGGTTAAAATTGTGAATAATTTTAGCAAAGCTGAGATAACCGGCATTACTGAAAAACAACTTAGTGAAGTACATGATGAATGAGGAAACAATAATACAGAAGTTCAAGATATTGAAGATGATAGTAATGATGCTAAGGAAACTGACTTTTTCGTAGAGCAATATGATTATTACTTTGATGAAATCTCTAAAAACAAGAACACCATATATCTTCAATATTGTGGTGCCCACACAACTTAACTTGCTACCACCCATGCAATTAATTAAATATGATTTTAAAAAATTAAAAACTTAAATTTAGTTACAAAAGAATTTAAAACAGTTAGTAAGTTGTCAAATATAAAAAAAAGAATGTAATATAGTAATATTTACTAAAAAAGAAATTTCTCATCATCTGCTAACTAGTTCATTAGTAAAGAAAGGAAACATAAGAAACATAATTCATTATGTAAAGTCTTTTCATCATAGATTAAAATATGTGAAAACAAATAAAAAACTTTTTTTCTTTGCTTTTGCTTTAACGAACGAAGAAGTGTTTTAATATAATTCTTTTCACAAATGAATTAAAATTTTTTTGTTTCTTATTAATTCAATATTGTGTAAAGTTTTTTTAACGTTACTTATAAACTTAAAATTTATAAATTAAATCATAAATTATAAATTAAATTGTAAATTATGTTTACAAATATCTTTGTAAAAAAATTGTTTGAAATCATTATTAAAAATATTTCATTGAATACGCAAAAAATAATAAATTAATTGTGATAAATAAACATAAGATTGTTTTAAGAAATAAATTATTTAATCTTTTTCTAATACCGAATTTAGATTTCATCACTAATATTTGTTATATTTGTTTAAATAATTTTTAAGGAGATTTAAAATTAAATTAAATACAATGCAGTCTATATTACATATCCAAAACAATTGTATATATTATAAAAGTATAGAAATAATAAGAGTTTTTATATTATATTTTATAAGAGTATGGGTACAAAATATGAAAATAATAAGATGTTTCCATAAGAATATGAAAATAATATGATGATTCCATAAGAGTATGAAAATATTAAAAGGTTTCCATAAGAGTGTAAAATAATAAGATGTTACCATAAAAGCATGGTAACAATTTGATGTTTCTATTTATTTCTGCTAATTCATTATGTAAAGTAAAAAATATAAGTTTCTCTATCATAGATTAAAATATGTGAAAGGAAAAAACTTTATTTGTTTTGTGCATACAAATAATGAGTTTCAAAAAATAAAAAAAAATTGCTGTGATGTGTGATTTGCTGGTGGACTAAATGATCTATTTATGGAATTGTTTATATATGGAAGATATGAACTGTTTCTCTATCTAAGTATTTTTTTTTAATTTACGCTTGTTATGTGGAGATTTTCCATCAACATTTTATAAAGCTGCAACCTCTAGTGAAAACAAAAATTAGTGATTTAACAGACATGAATAATTATAGAGCAATTGCAATCATTATAAATTATTTGAAAGTATTTTAATAACAAGAGTTGAATCTTATAATAATGTTGATGATTTTCAGTTTGGTTTCTGGCAAAATCAGCCCAAAAGTCTGTAACATACTATTTAAAAAAGAGAGCTGAATATTATATTTCTAGAAAAATGTTCATATGTTTTATAAATTTTAACAAAACTTTTGATAGCATTAGTAATTGGAAACTGCTTTCTAAACTAAATGATCAGGATTTAGTCAAGAATGTTGTCTGTCTTTGGTTTTATTAACTGTTGTTGATTTTATTAACTATGTTGAAGCTACTGTCATTAATATGTTATTTAATACAAAGAAAAAGGTGTGCATGATATTTAATCCAAACCAGAAATGTAAAACTGTGTCAAACAATTTCCTCTTTTTACCAAAATTAGTTTTCATTGACAAATTTAAGTATTTATTTCATAATTAAAAATAGTTCAACTGATAATGCTAATATAAACTGTGAGATTTAACTGTCTATATACATGTACAAAAATTCTTATCAAGCATTTCACAAATTAAAGTTAAAACGTTGCTATTGAAGTCGTAAATAACTTTTCATTTATTTAAAAATAGTCAAAAAGCAAAAGAGTAAATAAAGAGAGACATAAACTACCAATTAAGTACTTAATGAACTATTTTTAAAATTACTTATCTTAAGTAAAAATTTATGCTTAGACTATTTATTCAGCGTTTCTTCTGTCGTTTAAGTTTGCTTTCGTTTTAAAGTTCGCTTTTCGACATAACTTACATTATAACATAAACAAGTAGTAGAGTAATACATATAATTATTAATTTTTTTATTTTAAATGGAACCTTCCGAAACAATATTATTTATAAAATAATACACACCAAGTCGAACTTGCAATGAAGACTGAGCAACTGTAACAGAGTAAAAATCATCTCGTTCGTTTTTAGAAAAACTTCCTTCTATATCAACCATTTTTAAATCAACATACAAACACAACGCGACGTAATGTTTTTGAAACAGAGAATGGGGATTTCCAGTTTTCTCGGAAGTCCCCCACTTTTTGTAACGAAAGAAAACAAAGTAGGTTAAAAATGTAACCTCTTAATTAAGAACTATGTATGGTTAGAAGCTTTAATTAAAGCTTTTAACCATACATTTTTTAAATCTAAAAGTCTAAAAGTAACATTGGCTGGTACTGTATTAAAAAAAAAGTCTATATGTTTTTTTTTTCTAACTAAATAAAAACCTAACTTGCAAATTATTACCATTAAAATAATTGCATACATTATTGAACAGAAGTTGAAACTGTTATATGTTAGAGAAATGTTATATGTCATTAGAAAGACCTTCAATACAGCATTAAAAATTCTGAGTTAAGTCACATGGTGTCATACTCTTCAAGCTCACGTAAATGGTATTCAGACTCGCGACCTTCGGCTAGCGATCTTGCGAGAGTCACTGGGCTTCGATGAGGAATATAAGTTAGTGTCTGCTCCCCACCTGAACACTAGTTCCATTGACACGCCATTAAAATCATTGAGTTAAATGCTTTTGGACCCTCTACAGCAGCTTAAGGTTGTGTCAGTGTTTGCTATTTACTATTTGCTGGGATCGCTCAAAGAAACTTTATGCCCAGGCGGTAGAGCGGGCGAGCTCACCCCCATCGGCACCTGCCCGTATTCAGGAGCTCTCGCGAGAGTTTTTATCGTGGAGGTAGTATTGTTGTAAAGCTGAAAGTAATACAATACAGCAAATGTGAAAAAAAAAATAGCTGAAAAAAAATAGCTGAAAAAAAAAATAGCTGAAAGTAATACAATACAGCAAAAGTGAAAAAAAAAAATACCAAAAATTATAATTCTACAAGGTTTAAAGTTACAAATATTTTTGTTTAAATTTGTTGAAGAAAATGTAGTCAAAATTAAAGTTTTTTTTAACAAAAATTGTTATAACTTAAAATATATATTACACTATAAAGCACATATTTCTTTAGCATAACCTTCAAAAATGATTCAATTTTATAGATTATAAAAATTTTAAAAATATTTGAAAAATATAATGCAAAAGATTTTCCAACCTATTTATTAGATTTTACTTAAATTTCAAATTGATAAAACTATTATAAAATATTGTTAAGATGTAATAATTAAACTTAAATTCACAACTTATAAATCACAAAACAGTTTTTGGATAAAAGAAACGTATTCCTGCTTTGAAAGTGGTACAGACGACAAGCCAAATTTAAGACAATGTCTTCAGTTAAGCAATAAAGTATTTAGAGAAGGCAATCTTAATTTCATTATCATATTTTAACACTTAAGCACTCGTCAAAGCCAAAATGCAATTTTAGTACATTTCTTGTAATTGTAGATTAAACCAAATACTATCACTAAAATTAAGTCATAGAGCCATAGAAACAAAGTGTGTCTTTTAAACAAAATTGCATAAACTTCTTGAGCTGCTCAAATCCTATACTGTTACAAACTTTCTTTTGCTGGTTATAATGTCAGTTATTTGAGAAATCGCTTAAAGTTAAAAAACATTAAAACCACACTTTCAAATTAACTGTGCAAGCTCTAAAAGGATAATAACATTGTAATTTTTCCTTCACTTATCGAAAATATTTTTATAACTGCAGCAATTGATAACATCGATTTTCTATTTAAGGAAAATCAATCTCTGTTTTCCAAAATGCTCAGCGAAGTTTACTTGTTAAAAAACTTGATTGTGATTTTTTCAAAAAGAACGAAAAAAATTTTTTGAAGACAACTTAAAATATCAGGTTTACCATTGGCATTATTAAACGAAGGGCGAGGTTTAATATATCAAATTCAGAACTATCATTAAAATTAAATTTAAATGAGTCTAAGCTACCAGGGAACTGCCTTAAAACTTGCAAAAAAAATGCATTTTTTTCATTTTTTCATGTTTCAATTTTAACATTTTTAGACTTAGATCAGCTTTACAACAAACTTATCTTATCTTATCCGCAATAATTAGTAGAAGATAATCATAATACATTTAGTAGTTAAAACTGTTTCATAAATTTTGATTTACAATGCCTAAAATAGGTGGGGGGTGGGTGCTTTTTATAGAGTTTTGTATGTAATAACTTCAACTCATATATTTTGTTAGAAGGTTTTTTACTAAACGGCTACATACAAACTTTATTTTAAATATTTTTTGTAAACATTTAATATAGAAGTTATTTATTTTAATATATTTTCAGTGAAGCTATAAAAAAAGGAACTACAGGGGGAAAAGATATTTACTTTTTGTTTAACTTTTACAGATTTTACAGTGGGATAAGATAGGTAGGTTAGGTAGGTAGGATTAAAGAAATATAGTTTGTAGTAAAAGAAGAGAGACTTGATAGATGAAAAGAGATGAACCCAGAATTGTTCTCCGTTTCTTTTTATTTAAGACTATGCTACTGCATATATATTTAATCTATTTTATTTGTTATATAAAAATTGTTAACTAGGATTATATTTCTTATCAATATTGGTGTTATTATCTTTTTATTTAAAACATAAATTGATATTTATTACATTTCTAATTAATTTTTTTAAATTACTCGATAAAAAGTTTAACTAAGTATAATTTGGCTGCTTGAACAAGAAGATAAAAATGTTTTTTGTTTTCGTGACTGATTGGGATCTGGAAAAGAGTTACTAGTAATTAAACAGCCAACACTTAGTTATGTGTTAAGATATGGTGTTTTTTTTAAGAAAAACAAGTGAACTAAACAGATGAAAATTAATTTTGAGTTGATCCAAGATATTTACAAGAAACTTCCAGAAAAATGGCTAATTGCTTGTGTTTTATTTAGGCCTCCTGTTACTAGTTTAAAACATAAGTTTACTAAGAAGACTCGAAGATGCTTGAAATAAAGCTTGTCTGTTTCTCAATCTAGTGCCCTTCCACGTAGCCCTCAAATTATTGCAGTTAGAAGAAAAATAATTGGAAAAATGTTTTTTTTTTGCTGCGTCGAATAAGTGTTACAAGTAAATTTCTATAGGTTTTGTAATTTTTTTCAAGATTTAGTTTAATAATTAGATTTTTTGTTTTGAGAAATTTTTTAAATATCATACTACGTTTTTTTATTGAGGTCATGATTGCTGGAGTAATCCCCCAGCAGGCACAATGACGTTGAAATAACGTTGAAACAACGTCGCAAACCGACCATATACCACATTGAAACAATGTTGAAATTTGGTTGAATTGGAAATAAAATCCGACGTCGAAAACTACGACGTTGAAACAACGTCGATGATTACGTCGTTTCAACGTTGATCTAACGTCTTATCGCCTATATATCAACCATATTTCAACTTTGAATAGGTGATATATTCGATTGATACGTAGTTGATAAGACGTTAGAACAACGTTGAAACAACGTAAATTCAACGTTGATTTTTTTTTTTTTTTTTTCGTTAAATCCAATTAACTAAAAAATTATCTCAACTTTAATTGCAATAAAATAACACAATAAAAAAGCAATAATTTGCGCAGAGGATATTATATTTTACGTAAATTAATCAGATACAACTAAATTGCTTCAACGGACTTTATATACAATGCAAATAAAGTGAAACGTTTGAAAAAAAAAAGTTTTATTTACCAGTAATATATTTATCAATTTATCAATAATAACTATTATCAATAGTTTTAGAACAACTAGGAAAAAGTATGAATATTATACATCGGGTGAATCGCCTTTTACGCGCCGACCACCACCATTTGATCTGTCGAGTGCGTATTTTAATAAAGTCATTATTCCTTTACTTATTTCGGCAACTGTAACAGTCACTTTAATTGACAAAACGCTCTCTATAAAAAAGGTATTGCCTGAGTAATTTACATCAAATACATCAAAAAGTTAAAAAAATAAATTAGCATTAAAAAAACGAACTGTGATTTTTAAAAAATATATAATTTTACACTTAACTTACAAGTAAATACCTAATGTTTGTTCCTATAAACTTCTCTTTACCTTTACCGCCAGCCATATTAAATTTTGATTATAAACCATTGGTTAACTACCTGCATTATACATTGTTATTATTATTATTATAGTTACATTAAAAATTGATAAACATGTCTTTTACAAAATACAAATTATTCTCAATGAAAAATTGCACAAACCGCAAAGGTTTCTTACCCAAACCGTAATGCAAGTAAGAAAAAGAATTGATACAGGGGAAGAGTTTGGTCCAAGGAGACCACCTTCTAAACGCAAGAAAACACCAAGAGCGGACAGTATAATCAGAAATATCTGCCTGGAAAAGAGAAAAAAAGCCACTAAGCTTATCCATGAAGCTGTAATTGTTGTGTCAGACCGGACCATTTGCATAATAACCCAGAGTTGACAGAAACTATAAAAAATAAATTGCAAGCATGTCACAATGCAATGAAGCAGTTATTGCAAAAAAAAGTGTTTTTGCAAAATATTTATACTTTATATATATTTTATATAATTTATCATAATAATCAATAAATATTCAAAATGTACAACTTTATTTATTTTTATCAAATACAACTTTATAAATAAAAGAAAAAACTTTAAATTGCACCACTATTATATATATATATATATATATATATATATATATATATATATATATATATATATATATATATATATATATATATATATATATATATATATATATATAAGCATATGTATGTATATATACATACATATATATGTATGTTTATTTATGTGCATATATATGTATGTATATAGAGTAAAAAAAAAGGTTAAGTATGTGTTACAAATCAACCTTTGTACTTTAAGGTTGTTCTTTAGCTCAAGGAAATACAAAAGTAAGAGAAAACAGTTACAAAAAAAATTATAATCAGACATAAAAAAAAAAAAGATTTATTTTATGTCTGATTAGAATTCGTCAAACTTTACACATATTTTTAACACAAGTTTAAAACAAACTATAATAAAAAGATTCAAAATATTTTTTATTTAAAACTACTTTTAACCAACCAATATCAACCTTCTACCAACCAATATCATGGACTAA